CAAAAAACTTAAAAAAACTAACCAAATCAAATCAGAGTAATTATTCCCATGATCATTTTATTGTAATTCTCGCTTTAACTTTCTATTATACAGATTCAAATAGTAAAATAACTTACAGTTGTGGCAGAAAAAAATGTCACTTTCTTTTATTTGTAAAAAATTATATTATGAAATTTTTTTTATTAAATTAATATTAATATTACAGTAATTAAAAATAAATTAATTATTTTTAAATTTAATTTTTTATCAAGTTCAAATATTAAAGGTCTATATATTTAAAATTTTATTAAATATTCTAAAAAAAAATTTTTAAAAATAATTATTTTTTTATTTTTAAAAATATTTTAAATAATAAATTTATTATATGATAAAAACTTTAAACTTATTTACAAATATTAAATAAAATTTTTTAATTATCTATATAATAATAATAATAAAACAATTATTAATTATTTTTTATAATATTGCAAAATTTTAATCAATAAATATAATTTATTTTTTAAATATATTTATAAAAAAATTTTTTTATTAATCATAAAATCAAACTTTAGATTACATTATAATTTTTAAGAAAAAATTGATTTTATTTAAATTTTAAAAAGTTATAATTATTATTATTTTTTTTTTGAATCACAAATGGGCATTAAATATAAAACCTTTATTAAACAAATGTTTATCAGTCATTACATTAATAATATTTATACAAAATATAAATTAATTATAGCCTATTGCGACTTTTATAACTAGCACACATAGTTATCTAGTAGGTATTTACATGTTAGAAATATTGAACAGCTAATGCCTATTTAAAATAATAATATAACTACTGGATTGAAAATTTTTTTGTCAGTTAGATTGTTGTTATTATTTAAGACAGTTAGAATATTTTTGATAGTATTCACTTTTGAATTACTAGAAGTATTGAAGATTAATAATTTTGATTTTTTCCATTTGATACCTGTTAAAGGTAAGATAATAATAGTTATAAAGTATTTTTTTCAGATTTTGTAAAGAATTTTGAGAGAATAGTTTGATATTGTTTCTTTTTTCTAAAAGATATTGAATTTATTTATGGTTAACCTAAGGATCATTTCACTTATTAAGTTTTTTATAAGAATTTCTTTTGCACTGTTAAATATTATTTTGTTTTTCAGTATGTTTTCTGATAATAGTTTGTCAAGTTTTCTTTTTTTGATACTAGAATATTTTTGGTTTGTGAGCAAGTAAATAGATGTGATATATTCTTTAAATGGATATTGCACCTTGGACATAAGTTGTCCTTGTAAAGATTTGGATATCTTTGTATAGTTTGATTCTGGTTGAAAGCTGATTTGTGATAATTTTTGATTCTAAAAGTGGATAATAACTCGAATTTGATTTGGTTAGTTTTTTTAAGTTTTTTGTTAACCTTGAGAATATTTTTTGAACTTTTTCAAATTATGGACTTGTGATTAGCTAATTGACTAAGAAGAAAATTAAATAGGTTTGTATAGTAATTTGTGAACTTGATCCACTATGTTATATTTATAGCATATTTGTTATTAATCAAAGAAAAAGTGTTAAAGTTGGGAGATGATAGGATTGATACTATAACTGTTATACTTTGAGATATTGATATTGGAAACTGTTTTGAATCAAAATTCATATAATAGTAATTTGTTTGGAGTTCCATTACTTGTTTATATTTTTAATATAGTAGCTGTAAGGGTATTTAATCTGATGGTTTATATATTTAAAAAGGATAGTTTTAAGTTTATACTATGAGAAGCATGTGATTGTGGAGAGAGGTGAAAGATTTCTGAGAAATACAGTATATTAAGAATTGGCCAGAAGGAGGTAATTAAATTAGATTGAGCTTTAAAGGATAGAGTTATAAAAGAGTTTTTCAAAATGATATTATTATTTATAAAGTATATTTTAATATTATTGAATTGATTTTGTAAAGAAGTTTCATAGTATAGAATTGAAACTAGGGAGGTTATAATAGGGATAGGTAATAGGTTATCTATTAATTCTTGAATGTTATTTAATATATAGTAGTGACTATTTCTTTTAATTGTCCAGATAGATTTCAAGTCTTTAATATCTATAGATTATTGCATGATTGTAAGCTGCAAGAGTATTGTTGAATTTGTTTGGACTCAAGTTTGGAGAGTTATGATTTTGATGAAGAGGGGACGATTTCGAAACGTCCTGGGCGCAGAATTGACGGATGGATCGAAACTATAAATCAATTGAGTATAGCCGTTGTCTCTAGCGCGAAAGAAGGGGAGTCTGTGGGTGAATACCTTGATATCGATGAATTCAAAGAATTTCGAGAGAGATGATTGGAAGTGTAAGTTATATGTGTATTTCCGTACTTGGCGAGTGGTTTATACTGAGATGCAGCGGCTGTTTGATACATGGAAGAGAGAATTTGTTGAAAAATTTACGATAGAGATATTGTTGGTTAACTCAAGTCTATTGTTATGGGTGTTTGTGAAAATATCATTGAAGTTGGGTTGACATTTGAAAAAAGAACTCATTAATCTTTCTGTCGCACTAAAAAAATTGCGGACTATTTGTATAGGTATCGATGGAGATGATAGGAAAAGAAATTTACATCCAAGATTGTCGCTGAAGCAATCTGGAAAAAAAAAAGCGAGATGTTTTTTTTCCTTTTGAATTTATCCGTGTGAAGAAGAAGTCTTTATGGTCGAATAATTGACGAGTGTGAAAAGGAATCCCTTTTCAATTATCGTTGTTTGTGTCAACGCTGAGAGTTTCAGAGAAACCTTTCGGAAGTAAGTAGATGAAATGATCGAAATCTGCTTAAGGCGCAAGTACTGTATACGGTGGTTGGCAAAGTGACAGTGGTTTTCGCGTATACGGTGGTTGGGTCGTATTTGGTTGTCTTCTCATAGCAAGTACTGTATACGGCGGTTGGTACTGTGCAAGTACTGTATGAAGTGGTGACTGCTGGTACGGTGGTGGTTTTTTCACGGTACAAATATCGTACGTAGTGGTCGTGGCAGTGACTGTCTTATAGACCACTTTCTTATGGTACTCGGTATGCTTTGGATACTTCTCATGCTTTTCATGCTTTTCAGGGTGAGGGGGATGTGGGATGGGAAGGGGGATAGCTCGAGGAACAACTAGTGACTTCATGATCACGCCTCTCAATATTTTATTATGGGGAGCTGCGCCAACGAACGCGGCGAGAAACAAGAAGTGCATTATCTTTTAATTTTTCAAAGAAAAAATTTTTTATTCGTTAAATGTACTACAATTTTCGTAATGGAGAAAAATCGTGAAGAGAAAGTTATGACTCAAGGCATTCGTATCTATAACAAAATTTCACCTGGTGTTACTTCTTTCCATCATTCTATTTTTAGTGCGCAAGTACCAAGCACGAAGAGATTCTTATTGATAAGGCGTTTTTTTTTTTAGTTGTTTTATATTTTTGTCTTCATTGTAATGTCAAATATAAAAAATTTAGTATTGCGTCATTAATTCGTATCGCGAAAAGAGTGAGGATAATGTGTGTCACCAAAGAGAATTGAAACTATGAGAATCAATTATACTCAAAGTTTGTTTCGGAAAGATGGTAAGAATGTTATACAGCTAACATAATAACTCTGCGTCTCTGTTACATTGGCCGTGAATGCAATTTTTTTTAGATACATTAATAAATGACCTTATCTATTCATCGCGAAAGAATTTATCGTGTTACCTTATAAAAACATTGTCCAATTAAAATATTACCTTTTCGGGCGATAGTTTGGTTTGTCCCGTTTACACCTTCACCTAAAAAAAGAAAGAACTTCATAAATGATAGGCTGTGAAACACAGAAAATGATATCGTAAAGCCTTATTTACGATTAAAATTATGGATTTTAACGATTTACTCAGTTTGTAACACTAAAATTTGATTATTCATGATGTGCATTCCACGCTCAGGTTGTGCAATAGTGGATGTTGCATGTCAGCGAGTCTCCAGAGCCAATTTTTGCATGAAAGCGAGTCTCCAGAGTCAATGTTGCACAAAAGTGGATGTTGAAATTCAACTGCACAAAAATCAAAAAATGTTATATAAGCTACAATTCTTCTTAGACATACTGTTATAATTAATTAACTTTCAATTCTTCTAACCACTTCTACTATGAGTAATCAAATTGGTTATAAATTACACTATACTATTAGTCTAGGAAAAGCTTTCTATATTAACGATCAAGGCGGAGTTTATGATATTAATGATCTAAACTTTCCCGTCCTAATTGGTCATTTAACCGATATAAGCTTA